CAATTAGTGTTGTCTTGATGTTTCTTTGATGTTCAAGTTTGAGGACGACTGATGCAAGTTTGAGGACTACTGATGGATGCAGGTAAGATGAAAAAAGCGCCCTCGAATAAAAAAGGCCTAATTTCTCCCATGTCCCTTAAATTTCTATTAAAAGTCGTGCTGCAGAGTGCGCTATAATAGAAAGCCAGTTTCTAGGGTCTCCTAAAATTGATGTTTAGTCCTACTCCAGAGGAAAACAATTTTTTATAGGTTGTAGAAGGACCACAATGGAAATAAGTTTGACTTTGAGTTACTTTATTGTGTTTTTATCCTTGAAATTTGTTATATGAATTTCGAATAAATTGAATGAAAAGTAGAACAACTGCCAACTTTTTTTATGTCAACAGAAAACAGTTCTACAACATTATCAAAAAATGTTTTCCTCCAGAGCCAGACTTTAATAGAGGGGCTCCCTGTGGTGCTGAAAAGCGCCCTCAATAGCCATTTCATTCCAATGTTTTTGGATGTCTTTTATTTGTCATTAATTCTATAATAGCGAAGGTAGAGTGCGTCCTCTAATAGCCAGTTTCTCGGTGTTTTCAATTTTAACTTGGCTTTTAGAGGGCGCTTCTCATCGCCATTGACAATTAGAGACACCAAAAAACTTTGGATTGAAAAGGCTATTAGAGGGCGCTTTTCTTCACTATTTTTACCAGGAATCCCAAGATTTTTGTGGCCAAATAACTTAGTCATATTTAGGGCCTTTTTTATTTGAGGGCGCTTTTTTTTTTTTACCATCCTGCTGCTGGTTTAAATACTTCATTAAATACAATGAATATTTATTTATTTCAATTCTTTTTTACAATTGAATACAATGAATAAACAAGAAGAAACAATTCAATACAATGAATATAATGAATAAACAAGAAACAATTCTTTTTACAATTGAATACAATGAATAAACAAGAAGAAACAATTCAATACAATGAATATTTATTTCAATTCTTTTTTACAATTGAATACAATGAATAAACAAGAAACAATTCTTTTTACAATTGAATACAATGAATATAACAAAGTAAGCTTTATTGACGAACAATTATTAAAACCGTATACAATTATAACAATTATTTATAAGTCCAGAGAGGAGAGAGAAAATATCAACAATTCTTTTTTACAATTTACTAATTAACAATTTATATTTAAAGTTATCAACAGTTCTTTTTCACAATTTACTAAAATTCAAATCAATAAATCAAGTCCAGTGAAAGGGAATATAATTGTAATTTACATATTCATATTTATTTTAAGTCCAGTGGAGAGGGAAAATTATCAACAATTCTTTTTTCCAATTTACTAACATTCAATACAATAAATTTGATTGACAAACAACTATTAACATAAGTAACAAAGTGAAGTAATGGGAATGTTATCAACAATTGAAATGTCCATTGCAAAATAAGCCACAAACAATTTCGCAATTAAAAGCATACAATAATTTATTACATTTTCATCAAATTTCTACAGAAAGGGTTGCACCAAAATTGGCTATGGGATTCAACAAATGAGGCCATAAATGAAAAACTGTATTAACATTATGTGTTACTCAGTAACTAAGGCCAATAGCTCGGTGTCTTTGGTAATTCAATTTGGAATTGGCACTACTGTATACAGAAATTTACTTACTATTGCCAAAGTTACAATTTAAAGTATTACAGCTTCTCTGTACTAAATATATATTGAATTTGGGCCTTAATGATTAAGTGCAGACGTACATTAATGTTTTTAACATCATAATATTTAGGTGCTTCGATCATCAGTGACATCAATTACTGCTAAATGGTATCAGAAGTCTATTTTTATGAAGCAATGGTTACAACTGAACCTAACCGTAAAATTTAAAGCCTAAATAAATTCAAATTGTATTAATTAACAGTTAATTTATTACCAAATAGCCTAAATATATTTTCAAATTTCAAATAAATGCAATTTTAAATATTTAATATTTTCAAAATTATTTATTTTTATTGTTTGTCTATGATTTATAAGAAAATTATTGTTGTAAATTGTATTAGGTTGGATTATTACATTTTATTTAATTTTTAAATGAAGATATTAAAACCATTGCTATATTGTTATTATTATAGTTAAATTGTATGTCATAAACAAAAATTTATTAAAATTTAATTATGAAATAGGGAAATATAAGTTGTAGGCCTACTGTAATACTGACAACCAAAATAATTGGTATGCTTACAGAGGAAAAACAATTACTATTATTACTACAGTATTATAGACTATTAAACTCATATGTAAAACAAACTTTCTTGGGTACATATTTATCCCACAAAGCAATTTGCAATGGACATGCAATTTACAATGGACATGAAATTCATAATATTAAACATTCACAAACTTTTGCCATTACACTCACCATTCAGTAGAGGAAGCAACACAGTAATACTGGCTAGCAGGGCAGGTTGACTCATTGCAAAAGGAGGTATAATTAATGTCCAAGTTTCTTCAGAATTTCTACTGCAAAATAAATGACCGAGTAATTAGATTCAGGATGAGAAATATAAATATCAAAATGTTTTATTGCTAATTTAGCTAGTCACTCATTGCAAATCGTGTTTTAGAGATAATGGTCAAAACATCCAGAAATGTCAAAATATTAAAAATCATATTAAACTTTATATTAAAGCAAGTTATTTAATGTCTTATGTTGTATTATGAGTAAAATGTGAATAAAAACAAACTGAATTGTGTGTTTCATGCTTTTATATTGTCTTTACATGCATTTTCGGCCTGACAATTTTTTTTCTAATTACAAAACATTCTTTGTGTAAACATTAAGTCGTACTTCCTAAACTCTGCCCGCTAATTGGTTAATTTTTTTGTGGGTCATGGATGTCTTGCAGACATGAACGAGCTCAGTGCAACTGATTAATTTTTAATTAAACAGATTTATTAAAACAAATAAGAAACCCACATGGTTTTGTTTTACAGTCAAATCTAAATAAAGCTAAAAAGTTGGAATTTCATTCTCTAAAAATTTCCTCAGTAATTAGCACCATGTTTTTGAGGAATGAGTAAATCTATGCATTTGTAATTTACACTGGCGAATCTACGACATCCAAATCCGAAACATCTACTGAAAAAAGTCAGCCGTCGTATTAAACTTGCTTTTAGTTCCGTCTTCATTTCAGGGATTGATTGAAATCGATTTTTAAGAATTAGGCCTAAGGCGATAATGCACTTAATAAACAATGGAAAGAGTACAGTAACTTTCACATAATTTAACATTTAGGCCTAATGGTGTGTTGTTTTAATCAATAGACAATCTCTATGACAATGCTTTTGTGACTGAGCTAGATGTACGCCGGGCCATTCACATGGTGTTGTACTAGGCCTAGTTGTTAATTAATAGACAGTGATGATTATTGCGTTATTTCGTCTGGAAATCGATTAACTGTTTGTTCGGTTTGTAGAAGTTGATTTTAATGTTCCAGACTGAATAAAACGTCCGAATTCAGAATAGGGGTAATCTGGTTTTCTGAAAGTATTTTATTTTATCAAAAAGTAGTTGTGAATTTGAACATAACAGGTCAGCATGGGTTGATTTCAGGGCTCAATTTTATTTTTGCCAACATACTTCTTTCCTAATTTTGTAAGGCTGAACAAATGTAATTGCAGAACAAAAATATCTAAATTTGGTCAAATAATTCAATTTAAATCATGTATCACGACATAATTATATGCAAAATGAAAATGATATTATGCATTTTATATTTATATATTTACTTAATTTAATTATTTACTATTTCCAAGTTCTTTATCACAATTGCTTTCAATAAGTTTGAAATAATTATTTAAAGGTAAATATAATCTGAACAACCAATGTATTATGCAGAATTTACAATTCTGCACCCCTATTTTCCAGGCAATCTTCAGTTGTTTTGCATTGAGATATCGTCTGCACAATTAAACCATTATTTTTAGGAAGTGTTTATTATGCCGGCGATCAGCAATATTCTAATATCGATATTTTGCCGGTCTATTTCTCTGACTGGCCGGCTGGTGTAAATTATGACATCATCAAAATTTCAGTAACAAGTTGAATGTTTTGCAGTTACCGGCAGAGACATCCCACGCATTATTTAATGGTACATACTGGTAACCAGCTTCTTTTTACTAAATTGCAGGTTGGAATCTCGAATAGTGATAAAGTTAGCAAATGTTTGTCAGGGCCATCTTTCTATACAGTAGGTGTTTGCTCATTTTTTGAAGTAGGTCTATCGCTAGGCCTGTAGTAGTATTAAGTAGCAGCAGTACGTTACAGAATGTATGTAGAAATAGACACAATGGGCATTGTTTAGGCTACCTTAACGCAATGCATATTTTTCGTAATCAATGCTGACTCAAGGGATCGACGTCTTATAATTCAAAAATTATTGTATATCTCCCTAATTATGATGATGGTCTTGTGCATACAGCAGGTGACTTTTATGCAGCAATAAAAATTGAATTGAAGGACTGGTGATTTGTTTGTTTCATCTTTTGTCTATCGCCTGTTGTCGTTAATTTAGCAAAAATACATTAACACCCTTCTTTTTTTACAAATATTTGCACTGCTGCCATGAGGGAAAAAAGTATCATTTTGTTAAATAATGGCCCATAAAAAAGAACATTACAGGCTTCATGACTTAGTAAATAGATTTTGACGAGTAGTGTTCCAAAATTTTATTAATTTTATTTAAACATAGAACATTGGTTCCCATCCTGGAGTCTGAAAAAAATAATTGGGTATCCGCCAAGGCAAAGGAGTCCGCTAGATTATTAGAACAACTTTCAGGATTCTATTACTTTTTTTTTAATGATAAAGAAAGCTAAGGATAGAAAAGAAAGACAAGAAAGAAAAAGAAAGAAAGAAAAGAAAGAAAGAAAGGGAAATTGAGAATTAAAGACTAAAATTCGTAGAATAAAATTGGTAGAAATATTAATATATGCTAATATTAGCTCAGCCTAATTGGAGGGAAGAGAAAAAAAAGGAATGGTAAGAAATAAAAAATGCACGATTGCAGGATTCTCTTTTAAATGGTTAAATTAGTTTGAATATTTCAAAATAATGGCTAATTTTTCTAATCAATATGTATTTACAACATAATATAATGTAATAAATTACTTAAGGCAAAACTCAAAAAAAATGTTCTATTGTAAATCTTAGTTTTTTACTGTTTATATATTTATTTTGTTTTTGGTAATTTGTGTGTTGGGAGCCGCACATCCTTCAGGCGACAGTGGATTTTCCGCTTTTGTGACTCCTGAGCCGTCATGCCAAATGAATAAAATAAAATAAAATACAGGATTGTTAAATATAATATAATCTAAGATTATCATGAGACGTAATATGCCAACTAGATTTTCTAGTCAATGGCTGCCAATAACTGATATATTTTCAGTGGCTAAATTTATTATTATTACTTTTTTTTAATGGTCTAACAGCAGTGTGATCATGCCTTGGCAATAATTAAGGCCAAGTAAAAAAAAAAACATGTTTCTCGTCACATAATTTTGAAAAAGAGGAGCATGAGGTCCCTTTTTTTTTTCATCTTCGCTGGCGGCGGCCGCCGTGAGGTTTGTGATATAAACAGTCTCCAAAGATGCGTGTCTCACTACTTAATTCTAAATACCAATGTGAACATACTACTCTACATTATATATACAGTAGAAAACTATACTACTGTATATTGAATTTAGTTCACACAGTATTCGTTTTGTTTCTTTAAAATCTTTGTTTTTGTGCCTATTTGAACGCACACCAGCCCTGCCATTATGGAATCTTTGATAAAAAGATTTATATGAAATATGGTCAAAAAAAGTTATACACAGTATGTTTTCAGATATCGAATGAAATGCGATAGTAAAATATTACTTTCCTCAAGAGTCGACATACGAGCGAGAGAAGAGAGCATGCTTTTCAATTCTAGAATGATTCGAAATTGTGGAAAGTCAGCGGCCCGTCCTGAATACAACAAAGCTAAACATACAATTCTTATTGTACTGTAGTAGCGATCGAACAGGAATCGGGGAAATTGGAACAATTACGGTCTGGCACGGAATATTAGAGGAACACAGAAGAAAGTTTCGGTAGGTATCTACTGTTGACTGGGTATTGTATGTGGGCTAGGCCTAGGGGCATTTTTTGCAAAGACGTTTCGTTTCTCAGGTATATTTTCGAAGTTTTACTAGGGAAAAAAAAAAAAAAGGCGGCCCCAAAAAAGAATGCGGGGGGGGGGGGGGGGGCGACGAGAAACATTTTATTTTAATATCATGTTATTTTGCCCATTTTCAATGTTAAAACAATTTTTAAAGATTTGATAGTTTCTGTCTTAGAAATTCCTGAAATATATTTTGAAGGGTGATTTCTCAAATATTGTTCTTTAAACAGCTGTATGTTAAAACAATTTTTAAAGATTTTATATTTTCTGTCTTAGAAATTCCCGAAATAATATATTTTGAAGGGTGATTTCTCAAATATTGTTCTTTAAACAGCTGTATGTTGAAATGCTTTAACTTTATAAGGAAATGTGCGATTTAATAGATTTCTTTGCACCATTTCATAGCTCCCATTTTTTTGCGACTGACTGGTTTTGGTTGTCTTTGCCAAAAATGTAATTACAGAAAAAAAATATCTAAATTTGGTCAAATAATTCAATTGAAATCATGTATCACAACATAATTAATTATATGCAGAATGAAAATATTGGTATGCATTTTATATTCATACGTTTACCTAATTTAATTATTTACTATTTTAATTTCTTTTTCACACACATTAAGTTTGAATCAAATTTATGTCATATTTTTCAATTTTTTCATGTTTAGACGTTGCAATTAAATTCACTCAAAATATAAATCTACACTAATGCACCGGTGAACTCTAATTTGATACATTTAAAATTCGTGAAATCTGTTGCATCAGTCGGTCAAAAGCGATGATCACTAGTTGCTGAGTCATGATTTTGAAGAGATGCTTCAGATGAAGTTGTGAATATATACATCATAGCTTGTGAGCCATTGTCAAAATGTGATTTACACTTTCAAAACAATAGGGTGAAAAAATATTCTAAAATGCTTATAAATAATCCTTAAATTTAGTGTAGTGAGCTGGAACGCTTTAAGTTATCATTTCACAAATATAGACCTACATTGTTTTAAAATAATTGTGAATTGGTTCTTATTTAAAATCATGTTACTATAATTTGTATAACATATCAAACTCTTTTTCAAAAAAAAATTAATTTTGAAGGAATATTTTTGAAGCTAAAACTTTAGTACAACCAAATGATGACATTAATTTTTGCATTTTTTAATTTGAAAATTTTGTAATAGGTTCTAAAATGAATGAGTTCAAAGGTTGACCTACAAAATGTGAAAAAGCAGTTGATTTATTTGTAATTTTTTAAATAATTTTAAATAAAACGTTGTCTGCATTTGGTAAATTCTGAGTTCACAGTACTACATAGTTCACTTTCTTAAAGTTCTCCTTTAACACTTTTTTTTTCCTTATCAAAAAAAAGTCAACGTTAATTATTAATTATCCATAACTTTTTTTCAGAATCCTGTTGATTCGGTTTGCACAGGCTGTAACCTAGGCATTAAAGCACCACTCACATACATATTACCCTACCGAAGTTATATGAAATCCTGTTTGCCGAACACCAGATTTCTGACTCAAAAATCATGAAACATCGTTTGCCCATCGGCACAACCAAACTATTTCTCTTTCATGTATCATTGTATAGTTGTCACTATTTACTTAAGACATTGAAAAGCCATTACGTTTCTAGTAATGCACATCATAATTATGCCCTAAATCAAAAGTAAGGCTTTTGAAATTATTCAATTACCCAACTGCTCACAAAAACAAGTTCATTTTTTTCACTCTGTTTTTTTTTCTTTTCTTTTTTTATTATTATACCGGTCACCATTGAGGTCCAAACACGTACAAACGACTCACATGGTCACGAATGAAAATAAATTGCCGGCTAAAAGTACTGTTTACTTACATCGTTTTATGAATTGTTAACTAGGTAATTTTTATGTGTCGAACAACGTACATGGTGTCAGAATGATGAGCGAAAATTCCATGTGTCCAAATCAGGTTAACAATTGAAGGCAATGTTGTGGAAAACTTGCAAAATATTGTTAAGTTAATTTAGCGGTAGTCCATAGCAATATAAATGCTTTATAATGATGACTACCCTTTCTTTAATAAGAACACTGAGGCTGAAATTGCTTAAAAATTAAAAACAAAATGAGAACAAATTGAGGTGGAGGTAAAATGAGGCTATAATTTTTTTTTTAACAGAAAAACAAAAAACAAAATTATGTCTCTACCTTATGTGCAGTAGGTGTGACTATGTAATACCCTTTAAATTGGTGATTGGTGTGTACTGTCATTTGGGACCATTTTTAGTGGGCCTTTTTTCTGGGGCCATTTTTTCCGGAGCTCTTTTTTCAGGGGCCATTTTACCTACATTCCAGTACAGTAGTATACTGATGAACAATAATAATTTTCTATGTTTGAAAAGTGTGTAAAATAAGGACAAAATAAGAACATTTTGTCTGTCCTATGTAAAGACAATATAAAGCATGAAACAAACAATTCAGTTTGTTTTTATTCACATATTGTTTTAACTGGTTTAAATCATGTTTGTGTATCAGTTTTCTATTGTATTGTTTTCTCTATGTAAATTTCTAAGCAATTCAAAATGTTTTAACCATAAAACAGAAATTAATAAAATGGATGGATATGATTAGGATATGAATTGTTTGTCAAGGCGGTTAGTGATAAAAATGAAGGAAGTATTGATCCAATTCTGGACTTACTTGAAAATGTTAATCCAAATCTGGACAGTCAGCCTTTCCAAGCAGTAGGATGCTACATGCAACACTCAACACACTGCCATCCAGGTGCTACCTGGATACACATGCTGAAGATATATATGCCATCAAGAAGTTGCTTTTGCTGTGGTGTCATTTCAGCAGTTTCCTGACTATGAATATTCATTATCATTACATCATTGTGATGAAGCCATTGTCTAGTGAATTATGCAAATGAGTCAAAAAAGAGCCTGTAATTAAAAAAAAAATCATATTATTAGATTAAAATTTTAACCAACAAATATTAAGACTTACATTAATAAAAATGGTTTTAAAAGTAAATGTGTAATATTAATTTAAATTAATTTATCAAATAACATTATTTCATAAGGTTTGTATTTGTATATATATTCAACACCAATCATCAGTTGTATAAAACTTGACTATAACACATCCCAAGTAAATATTTGTCAACTGTGCCAATCTTGGACAGCATTTTTTGTTTTACTGCTTTCAGCATGTTACAAAAATACAGTACAATGAAGTATTATGATAAAAAAAATCTCATTTTTCTGGTAAAAAAATTTAGTAGAATTATAAACAAAATTATCATCTTTCAAATGCGAAAATTGATTTACCAGTTTCATTAGCAGTATTTTTTCTAAAGGCTTTTTTTTTAAATTTAAATTTTTAAAAATTTTAAAGTTATTTATCAAAACATAATTATGAAATAGGGAAATATAAGTTGTACTCTAATACTGACAACAAAAATGATTGTTTTCCGCTTATAGGGGAAAAAATTACTATTATTACTAAACAACTGGTGTCAACTCGTATGTAAAACAAACTTCCTTGCACTGGGGTACTGTACATATTTATCCCACAAAGGATATTTACAATGGACATGAAATTCATATTGAACATTCAAAAAGTTTTGCCATCACACTCACCATTCAGTAGAGGAAGCAACACAGTAATACTCGCTAGCAGGGCAGATTGACTCATTGCAAAAGGAGAAACAATTAATGTCCAAGATTCTTCGGAATTTCTATTGCAAAATAAATGACCAAGTAATTAGATTCAGGATGAGAAATTTCAAATACACAATAAACATCAAAATGTTTTATTGTTAATTTAGTAATTTAATTACCAACATTAAATGTGGCAAAGACAAGCCAAAACATGCTGGAATGTCAAATTTTAAAAAATCTATTTGATTGCATTATGAAAATGAATAAATTATTATTGTATTTATCAATTTATTTTATTCTGTCTAATTGTATATTGTAATTATTTTATTTTAAAGTTATTTATTAAAATTCATTTATGAAATACGGAAATTTAAGTTGTACTGTAGTGATTGTTCTGCCTAAAGGGAAAAAATTACTTTTATCAACTATTAAACAACTGGTGTCAACAGATTTAACACAAAGCACTGCCTTGTACTGGGGTTCAGAGCCAAACCAAATATTATCAGAGATTGCTAACCAACAAAAAGAAAAATTATATATTTGCAATTTTGCAATGGACATGCAATTTACATTGGACATGAAATTCATTAGTTGCATTTTTCTAACACACTCACCATTCAGTAGAGGAACCAAGATAGCCATATACTGTAGCCAAGGAGGGCTGGTTTGCTTGTTGCAGAGGAGGTGCAATGTCCAAGTTCCTTCAGAATTCTACTGTAAAATAAATTACCCTGTAAATTAATTATATTTAGGATGAGGAATTTCAAATGTTTTAATTTAGTTATTTTGTTTCCAGAAAAAAATATCAAAATTTTGTCAAATAATTCAATTTTAATACCATGTATTAATCATAACATTTATACAAATATTGACTTCTCATAAGGGGAATGGTGAAACACATTGCTCCAAGCTGATGTGCCTACTCGAGGAGAGATACAGTAGTAGGCTACTGTCTTCCCATCACTGAGGGGCTATAGATTTCACTGTTTCCTAAACCTAGAGCAATCAATACTTGTTTTATACTCTATCTAAACTTTATTGCAAGATTAAATATAGAAAATGCATCTGTGATTATTTTTGCTATTCACACACACGCACAAACAAATCAAATTAAGCTCATATTTTACATTTTTTCATGTTTAGAAATTACTATTAAATTCAGTCATAATAGAAATCTCATGCACCCGTGAACAGCACAATTAAAATACTTTACAGTATGGTGTAGTTGAGGGGTCTGTCTATGCGTATTTTCATTTTATTTTTAGGTACACAACATATGCATCAAGGATCGGAACGCATTCAATTAATTCATTCATTTTGTTGTTATTACTAATTTTTGGCAGATTTTACTCGTATTGATCATGCCGTCACAGGTGCACTGGAACTTAAGGGAGCCCCCAAGAGGCCTACATAGTCCAACTCCATGCTGTGAAGTTCTTTATTGGCACCACATACCCTGTTATTGCGCCTATGATACCTAAAAAAACCAGCTCAAATTTGTACCAAAAATCCTTTTTCGTGACACACTTCTAGGTCAACTATTTTTCACAGAGGATACAATCCCTGTGCGCCATATTTTTAACGTAAGATATTTTGGTAAAATCTCAAGAATTACAGTATTCATTATAATCCATTTTTATAGAACATTTTTTTGCACCTTTGATTTTCTCATATCTGTGCCGGCCTCAATGATCAGCTGCTCTGTGCATATCGCGAGAAACCGGTGTTCGATTTTGATAGAACGACACACAACGCACCATTCACTTTCATGGCCCAAGATTCAGTCTTTGTAAGGGCCTTTTGTACAGGTATTTGAATCAATACAAGTGATTGATAGTATTGTTGATTCTGTAGTTTACTCTCTGTCTAAAAATACAAAATACTTTTCAACAGTTGCCTAATTAAAATGCGCTATTTTCAGATCTGTGTCAGCCTGAATTAGCTGCTCTAGGCTGTTTTGCGATTCAGCCATTGTACCAGCCTTCTTGTGTTTCTTCCATTCTAGTACACACTAAATGTCAGTGTGTTTTCGTTTTGGATAAGGGCTGGGGCAGTAATATAGACCAGTTCCCAGGGCAACCCTATACACATCTTGAAAGATTTACTGTGTTCTTTTATAGTTCACATGAACCAATTGTGTACACTGGGCCTACTGTATACAGTACAGTGTATAGTCCTTATCCAAGAACACTTGCTCCACCCCACGGCATAGGTCAGCGTATATTATTTATTTACCTCCTGGAAAATTTCTTTCCATCCACTTTTCCACAAAAGACCCACATTTAAGATAAATTTTATCCCCTTAGTTTGCCCAAAAATCTAATTTCAATTACATTACAATTTGTTTTGAAGTCCTGTAAAAGCCAAGCCATGTGTGTATATATATGTACATATATATATATATCTAGTGGTTATGACACTCGCCTTGACAGCGAGAGGTCGCAGGTTCGAGTCCCGCCAGAGGCATTTTATTACACAATTTCTTTATTCATTTATTTACAGGACTACATTCGTTGAGAGCTATGCTACAC